GGGCCAAAGGGGTGGGTGGAGGGAGGATGGGTGGTTCGCCAGGCGGTGGGTGCTCTGTTTGCATCCCCTCTCTCCTCGAAACATCCCCTCCGTGGAACAGATCGGGCAAGCTGTGTGTGGGGGTGATGGCTGCCCAACGGGGCCACTCGTGGGGAACCCGGCCGGGAGAGGGGGTTGGAGGTGGGGGTCGAGGGGCGGGCCAGTGTGGAGGTTAGAGCGAGGTACAAACGGTGGGGGGAGAGAGATTTGTGTGGGCCCTTGGTGGCCTCTCCTGTGGCCCTCTACCCGGGTGCCGCCGCTCCCATGAGCCTGGGGCGCAAGCCCTTGCGGGTGGGTCTCGGCTGCCTGGGGGGGTGGTGTGGGAGGGCAGCCTGTTGGGTGGGCGTGTTGGGGCTGTGCGGCGACTCGGGTGGTTTGGGTGCCTGTAGCGTGTGGGAGAGGGATTTGGCCGCAGAGATGCTTCAACCTCCGAGATGTGTGTACTACCGGGTGGGGGGGGCCTGGTGGAGGAGGGGGTAGTGGGCCGGTAGGGGTGGGTTGGGTGTTGGTAGGAGTCGGGGAGCATGGCTCCTCTAGGAAGACCAGAGCCCTGGCTGCTCCACGTGGTGCTCTAAGGAGCCCCCGAGGGTGGGGGCAGAGGTGTGCTGCCCTTGGGGTGAAGAAGGAGTGAGGGAAGGGGCGGGGAGGGGTGAGGGGTGAGAGAAGGGGTGCCCTCGGGTGGCTCTGCTCTTGTCGCACCCGCGTGCTCTCCCGGTGGACCGCCTGCAACCGTGGGGTCAGGCGTTGGGGACGGAGAGGGGGAGCTGGCCATGGAGCAGCGTGGGGGTCGGGGAGCATGGCTCCGCCAAGAAGGCCAGGGCCTTGGCTGCCCCCCTGGACACTACCGGGACCTGAGGGTGGGGGTGGGGAAGTGGTGCTCCTGGGGGTGGGTGGGCTGGAGGACGGGAGGTGAGGATGGGGGCTCCCTCGCGCGGCTCTGTCCTCAAGGTCTCCCCCAGCCCCTCCATCGGTCCTTCTGCTAGCATGGGGACGGGCATGGGGGTAGAGGGGAATCTCGACGTGAGGCTGCAGGGGGGCCGGGTCGGCCTCAGCGTCAAGCGTGAGGTATTGGGCCAGTGGCCCGTCAATGTGCATCACATCCTCTCCCTCATCCTCCTCTATCGCTATCACATCCCCCTCTTCAGTGCCCACCCCGGTCGGGACCACACTCACCTCTCCTTCCCCTATTGCCCCTATGTCCCCCGAGCCCACCCCGCCTGCTGCCGCTTTACTGCTAGCCCCTTTTGCAGTCTCTGCCGGCCCTGCCGGCCCTGCTGTGTGTTTCCCCCGCGTTTGCTGCGGCCCCTGCCGCCCCTACTGGCCGTGCTATGGCCCTCCCTGCTGCTTCAGCTGCAGCCTCACCTTCTGCCTTTGAGGCCACTGCTGTCCCCTCTCCCACTCTAGCCCCTGCCGTACCCTCTCTTGCTACAGCCGGGGCGGCACTCTCCCTCGCACCAGTCCCCGTTACCCCCTTCCCCGCTGCACCCGTAGCACCTCCCCCTATACCAGCCCCCACTGTGGCCTCTGTCGCTCCTGCTGCAGTCCTTGCAGCCTCGACTGCTGCAGTCTGTAAAACCTCGCCTACCGTAATCTGCTCAGCCTCACCAGCCGCGATCCCTGCAGCCTTGCCTGCCGCGGGTCCCTGCAGGCTCACGTGCTGCAGTCCCTGCAGCCTCACCCGCTGCAGTCCTGCGGCCTCACCTGCTGCAGTCTGTGCAGCCTCACCTGCTAGAATCTGCTCAACCTCACATGCTGCGGCCTCTGCAGCCTCACCTGCTGCGGCTATTTCAGCCTCACCTGCTGCGCTCCTGCGGCCTCACCTGCCATGGTCCCGCCTAGCAGCCTCATCCGCTGTGGTCCCTGCCGCCTCACCTGCTGCAGTCCCTGCGGCCTCACCTGTTGCAGTCCCTGCGACCTCACCAGCTGTAGACTGTGCAGCCTCACCTGCTAGAGTCTGCCCAACCTTACATGATGCAGCCCTCGCAGCCTCACCTGCTGCGTCCGCCGCAGTCTCACCTGCTGCGGCCCCTGCAGTCCCGCCTGCTGCGCTCCCTGCGGCCTCACCTGTTGCGCTCTCTGCAGCCTCACCTGCTGCGCCCCCTACAGCCTCACCTGCTGCGCTCCCTGCAGCCTCACCTACTGCGCTCGCCTGCGGCCTCACCTGCCATGGTCCCCTCCTGCAGCCTCACCCAGTTGTGATCCCTGCAGCCACACCTGCTGTGGTCTGTGCGGCCTCACCTGTGCGGTCCCTATAGCCTCCTCTGCTGCGGTTCCCCCAGCCGACACAGCAGCAGGTTCCGTGGCCCCTACTCCTGCAAAACCTGTCTCCATGGCCTCTGCCCTTTGCCTGGCCAGAGTCACGGTCCCTGCTGCCCCTTCCCCCACAACCCCCATTGCCCCTTCCCGTGCAGCCTTTGCTGCCCCATCCTCTGCAGCCTCTGCTGCTCCTTCACACACAAACTCACTTACCCCTTCCCGTGCAGTGTCAGCTGCAAGTCCCCCCCTGGCTCTGCCCTCTCCCGCTTCTATGTGCTTGGGGATGCGGGTAGGATTAAGTGTTTTCACAAGTAATCTGGTTTGCGAATGGGAGGTAGCGAGTGAGTTGGAGGATCTCTTTACTGAGCATGCATGGGTGCCGCCCCCGCTGTCACCTGAAGGGGGGGTAGGCTGGGATGGGGCAGCGGGGGTAGGGCGCGGTTTTGAGCGTGCTGGCTCCTCCTCGTGTATTTCCTCCAGTGGGGCTTGGCGTTCCTCTGTTCCATCCTCTTCAAAGGTACGCTTCTGGCCCCTAGGTTCAGATTGTGTGAGTGTTTTCGCTTGGTCAGGTGTATGTTGTTTCTTCCTGACTGTTGAAGTGGGGGGAGTGGGAGAGTAGGGGGTGGCTCGGCTGCGGGACCTCCCAGATCGCCGAGGGGCTCCCGGGTCTGCCTTTCCCCCACTCGCGGGGTGCTGGGGCATTGTTACAGAGGCAGCATGCCTGGCGGTGGCGGTGTGAGTTGCTGGAGTTGGCTCAAGAGGGCGTCAAAGGGGGAAGGAACTCCCTGGCAGAGGCCGGGGTGCGGGGGGTTAGCTTGGGGAAAGGGGAAAAGGGTGGGAAAGCGGTGCGCAGTGGGTGGAAGAGAGGGTAGAGGGGGCCTGACAGTTGGAGGGGATTGGGGCCCAAGGGGGGGGCGGGCTGGGGGCCGGTTGAGAGGGGGAAGTGTTGGCCGGGCTGTAGTGGAGGTGGGGGGGGCGGGGGTGATGTAGCGGTGGGTGAGCAGGGTGTGGGGACAGGTGGTGGGCCGGAGGTGGGGAGGGCAGGGCAGAATTCCACGGGAGGTGGGGGTGGGCAGGTGGAGCCAAGTGGGAAAGGAAGGGTGGGGAACAGAGAGGAAGGGGCAAAGGGTAGTGGGTAGTCGAGTTGGCGTGAGCCTGGTAGCGGGTAATGAGAAGGTTGGGAGGCGGGGGGTGAGAACGTGGGAGGGCAGAGAGGGCACCGAAAGGAGGCGCTGTGGTAAATGCAGAATAGGATGCGGGGGCCGGGAAACAGGGGACAGAGGGAATTGGGGAAACGATGAAGGGTGATAACTGCGGATGGGCGAGCCCCAGGGGGGAGGAAATATGGAGGGTGTTGGAGAAGGGGGAGACTGGGGGGGTTGAGGTAGGGTGTTGGAGGGCACAAGGGGCAGGAACAGGGGGTGCAAAGGTTGGCTGGGGGGAGGGAGAGGCGGTCTGGTGCCGCGGAAAGGCGGAGGGAGGTTGGGGACGGCACAGCCCAGGGAGCAAAAGCAAGGGGTGTAGACCTTGGCTGGGGGTAGGAACGGCGGTGTGGAGTTAGGGAGAGGTAGAGGGAGGCTGGGGTAGGTGGCTGGATTGCGCAGGGAGCAGGGGCAGGGGTGTAGAGATTGGATGGGGGTGGGAAAGGCGGCGTGGTGCCAGGTGGCGGCAGTTGGGTCACCGAAGGGCCTGGCAGGGCGGGATGCAGAGGTGCAGCCCACGCTGGATGCGGAAGTAGCTGGGGGGGAAAGGGAGGCTGGAGGGGGAAGTACGGCTCGTAGAGGGTGTGGGGGGCAGAGTGGGAGTGGGGAAGGCAGGAGGGGGGGTGGAGGAGGGACGTTGTGGACAGGGGAGTGGGGGAACATGCGGGTGATGATAGGGAGAAGCCGGGGGGGGGGGAGAAGGGGGAGGTGGTATGAAGTGGGCAAGGGTGACGCACGGGCAGAGCGCGGCGGTACTAAGGGCAGGGAGACGGGAGGCTGGGGGGAGAAAAGCCTGCTTGGGGGCGTGGTGGGGGATAAGGGGAAAGGGGCGGTAATGCTGGTGGGCGAAGGGGAGGGTGTGGTGCAGTATGATGAAACAGAATGGGGGGGTGGCGGACTGGATGGGGCCCTGGAGGGTTGGGAGAACAAAGTGTAAGCTGCCTTTCTGATTTTTTTCTGGTTTTTTTTCCGATTTATATGAATATTTTTTTTTCTTTGAAGTTTTTTCCCCTTATTTCCTACGGTTTCCAGAGACAGGGCGGCCTCTGCTAGCTAAGCGCCGTTAGGGAAAGAGGTTAGGTGGCGGGGTGGCTAAAGCGCGCGTGTGAGGGGGAAAGGGGCGGTGTGAGCAGGAAGGTGAATATGTGGGTGGCGACGGGGTAAGATTACGACGTGTGGGTGGCATGCACGAGTGCGCGACGAGGCATGGCAGGGTGGGAGTGAGCAAAGGGGGAGTGGGGCAGCCTGTGTGCCCAACGTGGGGCGGCTAAAAACGCTCTAGGCAGAAAACGCGCTTCGGGAGGCGCGCAAGGGGAGGGCTGCTTAATCGCTACGAACGTAGCAATTTCGCCTCCCTCCGCGCTGCCTTTCCCTGGCGGTAAGCGCCCCGTGCGCGGTTCTGTCTACGTCGCGGCTAGATTGAACGGGCGGGGAAAATGAGTGCGTGACTAAACATGACAGGCGACGAGAAAGCGTGCTTGAAAACGCGCGGCTCTTCGAATTAGGGTTTCGATAAGAAGGGCGCACTGAAAGGGAAGGAAGAATGCTAACTACGGGCGGAAGCTAAGCTCAGTGACTTCGAGAGAGGGAAACCGTGGGAAGAAAATCGGTAGTAGCTAATCGCTTCGAAATAGAAAAGCCGTGGGCAGAAAAGAGCGGGGGGATAAGGGAGAGTGTCGAGAGAGGGGATGGGCGGGAACACCATGTCTGGCCGAGTTGTGGTTGTGAGTCGCGCGCGCTGTTACACTCCGCGGGCGAACTTCGCGTCAACGCCCCACCTCCCGTTACACCGGCTGCAGCGCGTCCGCAACCTTCCCGCGATGGCGGGGTCGAACGAGCGGTTCCGTAACATCCCGCGAGTTCCGTTTCCGAGACTCCTGAGGGTCGCGCGCGAAACTCGCGACCCCCGTCCCGTCGAACTCGACAGTCGAAACTGGAAAACTAACCGTTGGAAACGCTTATAACTATAACATAAACAACTATCACAATCACTTTGTCCTTAAGCAACTCGAAATAGTAGGTTTGGGAGGCTCCTTAGTAGGCAGCCATGGCTAGGTAAGCTAGGTCAAGGTAAGAGCGCCGGTGGGCGAGAGCAGTACTGGGCTGGGTGACCTCCCAGGAAGTCCTCGTGTTGTACCCATTTATGCCCCTTGCTCGGCACGTGCCGGGGGAGGGGCAAGCGGGAAAAAGAAAGGACGATTTCAGCGCGTCCGATTTTTTTAATTTCCGTTTTTTTGCCCGAACAACGACCCAGCGGGGTGGGGGACCCCCGGGGAGGCTTGCCCGTGCGAAGAAACGCCCCGTGCGCACCACCGTTGGGCGGTTGGAAGCCGCACACGGTCGCAGGGGGTGGAGAGCGGAAACGGGCAGCCGGGGGAGGGTGGGGGCGGTTGGATGGGACTGGGTCGTACGGGGGGCAGGGGAGTTGAGGGGGCAAGGGGAGGGGCAGCAACCGGCAGGGGCTGGGCCAGCTGAGGGCATGGAAAAGGGGCGGGCAGAGGGTGAGCAGAGGGGCGAGCGATGCAAGGGAGGCACCATAGGCGGGAAACCAGTTGCACGGAGGTGGGAGGTGGGAGGTGAGGGGCGTGCGAGGGGGTGGGAAAGGGGCAGGGAGGGGCAGAATGGGAGGATGTGGGTGGGGGGTGGGGGAGGGGAGTGTGCGTGTGTGTGTGTGAGAAAGAGAGAGAGGGAGAGAGAGGGAAAGGGAGGGGGGGAGAGAAGGGTGGGAGGGGGGCTGGTGGTGGGGATGGGCTGATGGTGGTAAGAGGGCAGCAGGGATGGGGAGAAGGGAGCGTAACGAGGGGAGAGCAAAGGGCAGGGGGGGAGGAAGGGAGGGGCAGGGAGGGAAGAGGCTGAACGTACAAAGGGGGGGAAACGAGGGGCATGGATGGTAGGAAACAAGGGCAGGGGTGCGGGAAATCAAGGGCATGGAGGGAAGAAGCAATGGGTGAGGGGAAAACAAGGGATGGGCAGAGGGGAGGCAGGGAGGGAAGAAACGTGGGGCAGGGAGGGAAGAAACGTGGGGCAGGGAGGGGAGAAGCCAAAGACAGGGGCATGGGCAGGCGGGGGCAGGGAGGGAGCAAAGGAGAGGCACGGAGAAAGAAAGGGAGGCGCGGGGAGGGGAGAAACCGGGCGTGGGGGGGCGGAAAACGAGGGGCAGGGCGGGGAGGAGGGAGGGGCAGGGAGGGGAGAAGCTGAGCACACGGAGGGGGGAAAGGTGGGGCAGGGAGGTAGGAAGCCAAGGGCAAGGGGGGGAGAGTGGGGGGGCAGGGAGAGGGGGGAGGTGGGGGGGCGGAGAAAGGCGGCGAGGAGCAGGGAGGGGAGAAACCAAGCATAGGGGGGCGAGATACGAGGGGCAGGGTGCGGATTGAGGAGGGGCAGGGAGTGGAGTGGGTCGGCGAGGGGAAGGAAGAGGCGTGCAGCAGAGGAGGGGAGGGGGGAGGAGAAGGTAAGCGAGGGGAGCGCACGGGCGGGGAGGAGCGAATGGCGGGCGGTGGGAAACGGCGAGGGGGGCAGGGAGGGTCAAAAGAGGCGGCAAGGGAGCGGGCACGCGGAGGGTTGGGGCGGGGGGAGCGGATGGCATGAGGGGGCAGGGGGTGTGACTATGAAGGGGGGACCCGGGCAAGGGGTGTGTACCGGTCGGGGCACGGGGTTGACGTGGTACGATCATACCTCGGCTACTACGCCGGATCCCATCAGAACTCCGAAGCTAAGCGCCGGTGGGCGAGAGCAGTTATTCATTAATAAGGGAAGAGCAAATACAAGCCGAATATAATGGTTTTTCCAAGACTAGGAAATTTCGACATAGCCTAATCGCTATGAGGACGGTATATATATTTTGTAGGAAAAGGGGGAAAGAAAGGAAAGGAAGGAAAGATGAAGGAGTAAGAAGAAGTGGTAGGGAAAGGAAGAGGGTGGTAGGAAGAGAAGGGAAGGATAGAAGAGGGGAACAGAAAGAGGGAGGTGGGAAGAGAAGAGGAGAGAGGGAGAGAGACTAAGGAGGAGGAAGCACCAAAGGACCAAACACGGCAGCAACCCGCACGACCGCACGGGCACAGCGTTTCAAGCACAGCCACTATTGTTTTTTACACATATGCATCATATATATACTGCATATCAGCCACACTCTCGAAGCACCCTGTGACGTGGTGCCAAGTTCCCTGCCCCGCACCCAGTGGGACTGGTGCGGGCATCCACCCGTCGTCGGACCTCCCTAACTGCCGCACCGCATGCTGGATCATGCATTGAGCCTGCGCGCGCTGCAGTGCAACGGAGAGGCGTGTAGTGAGTCCTGCCTCAAATATCCGTGCCGATCCGTCATCCCCCCCACCTTTATCCCTCCTCCGCTGTGCTATCCTCTTTGCGCAGAGCCCCAGAAACTGACGCAGCGGCTCACTCAGAAGGCCAAAGGTCTCCGCCACGCACGCGTAAAAGTGTGGTGCCGGCTGCAGCCCCTCTAAGTGCGGCCCCCAGTGACGCAGCTTCTCCTGCACCCGCCTAGCTGCTGCCACTCCAATCTGTGTGGGGGTCGCCCGTCTCAGCTGCACGTTCCCCTCCCGCTGTGGATCCGCTATGGAGACATCCACAAGAACCATCAGACCCTGGCCAACGTCGCGGCAAGTGAGATCTGGAATGCGGGAGGCGGTGCCTACACGGCCTGTGCGTCCGACTGGTCCCTGCTGTTGCGCTGGCTGCTGCCCTGTCTGGTCCCTTGGTGCCCCCTCTCCGATCGTCTCTCTCCCCCTCTCCTCTCCTCCATCCACCTGTCCTCTCCCCTCCCCCTCTCTACCCTCCCCCAAACCTCCCGACCCCCCTGCTCCATCCCCTGTTGCCTCCCTCACTCCCTGGCCCTCCCCTCCCAATCCCGCTGCCCCTCCTGTACCTCCGTCCGCTCTCTGCTGCTCCCGCCCCTGCCCCGCCCCCGGGGCCGAACCTGGAGGCGCGGCGCTTTGGGCCCGCGGCCTCCACTGGCTCTCCTGCTGCTGCCTGTGCCGTCCCCCCTCCCCGTCCTGGCCCGTCTTCTCCCCCTGCCGTCCCCTCTGCCCACCTGTCCCTCGCTCCACCTGACCCCGCAGCTGGTGCCGTCCCCACTGTCCCCCGCCACCCGGCTGTCCCGCCTCGCCTCTCCGCTCCCCCGGTCCCTCAGCCCGTGTCCCCTCTCCCACCACTGGCTGTCCCAGTAGTCTCGCTCGAGCCGCCTCCAACTGTGTGAACAGCGTAGAGTCCTCCACCTTTACCGCAAAGCCCGCCTCGACCGCAAAGTCTCGAAGCATGTACTTCACCGTGTCGTGGATGGTAGTGGCGACCCCGTAGCGCGGGCACCGAACCGCGTGATGAGGCACCGTCATGTCGTCAATCGCCTGTCCGCAGGAGCACTGACCTGCAAGGGCTAACTGGGGGATAGGGAGACCAAGACGAGAAGATGAAGCCGCCTGCCACAGCGCCTCCGGGATGCGCAGTGGGTCGGCGTACGGCACCGACGTCAACCACGCCCCTGCACCTCCGCCCTGAAGGGAAGTCAAACGGGCAAGGTGCAAGGGAGAGGCGTGACGGGCACGCACGGCCTCCAAGGCATGCGCCTCCAGAAGACGGCTCGCTCTTGCAAAAAGGGAATCCGGGGAGGCAGAAGCGCAAGAGGGCCAGGGGGGAAGGAGAGAGAGAACGTCAGGTGGGAGACCCTCTAGCGCCGTCTGCAGAGCCCGGTCGATCTGCTCTGGCTCACCTTAAGCGAAGCTCTGCCGAAACACCTCGCCACACGCAGGGAGAGAACAGAGAATGGGTGCACACTGCACCCAAGAGCACACGAAACTCACCGGGGCAATGCGCGCCATGCGACGAATGCCGAAACCCCCGAGACGGATGGGGAGGAAGATCTGGTCTAGGGCGGCCTCTCGGACGTCCTCGCGACAAGCCCAGGTCCCTGAAGCTAAAAGCTGCTGAAATGTCTCTCCCAGGCGTGCGTCCCACCGTGTAAAACTGGAGATCACTGCGGGCGAAGGAGGGACGGTCCTCGACAGGTACTGCGGACGAGTGCTGACACACGCCGAAAGGAGGCGGGCAGCTGTCTGGGGCTGGCGCAACCTCGGAAGCCAAGGTAGCACCCGCCCCATCCTCTCGAGACGATCCGGGAGACTCTGCTCCACGAACGAAACGGTGCCTACCGGTACGCCTGTCACGGTGAGCCCTCGGCGTGCGACCTCGATCCCTAGGCCCGTGAAAGCCTCCAGATCCCTGGACAGAAAGGACTCCGTCTGGTAGACGAGGCACTTGTGCGGCTGGGCTGCAAGGCCCATCTCGCCCAAGCGCCTCATGATCTCGGCAAAGTGGTGCAGCACCCTGGCTGGGGGACCTAGCACGTACGTGTCATCGGCGTACAACCAGAGCTGGACATCCCCCTCCGCCAGAACCGGCTCCAAAGCAAGACGCTGTGTCAGAGCGTACAAGAAGGGGCTGAGAGGGTCTCCCTGGCGAGTGCCCCGCTCCGAGTGCATCGTGACCACTCCCGTGCCTGACCTGTAGTGGAGATCCGAGGGCGTCCCGTAGAAGAGGCCGATGAAGGGGATCAGACACTGAAACTCCGGGCTGGCCTGCAGCGCCTGGAACATCCTGTCTCGGTGGAAAGAGTTAAAGGCATTCGCCACGTCTAGCTGCAGGACCACCCAGTCTGGGTGGTCAGCCAGGGCGCGGCGGACGCCTCTAACTACGACCTCTGTCCCGCACATAACCCCCACCCCAAACTGCTGTGACGCCAAGAAGACCCTCGCCATCTGGTCACGTAGCTGGAGACAGACTGCACGAGAAAGAATGCGGACCAAAACCTCGCCGATGGCAATCGGCCGAACATCCATGTTCGACTTCGCCAGAGCCACGAGGGTGGAAGACGCTAGCAAGGAGCGTGCAGCTGGAGCGCAACGGCCTCGGAGCCACTGCTGGTACACGGCCAGGAGGAAATGGAGACTCTGAGGGAAAGCTAAGAAAGTGTCTCGCAGGTGCTCAGCGACCCAACCGGACGGTCCTCCCGAAGAGCCCCGCGGAGCTGTGAAAATCGCGCGGCGTAAGTGATCCACCGAGAGCACAAGAGGGGACCCCTGGAAGCCAGACAGCCAAGCTGGGGTCGGCCTCTCCGCGTTGGGGTGCTTCGACTGCAGGCGCTGTATCGTCCCCTATGTATCTGGGGCTGCCTCCGCGGACTTGAGAGCCGCGCACGCCCGTGAGGTCTCATTGCACGCTGCCAGACGAAGGCAACGTGCAATGCGGCGCTCATCTGCTGTAGAGGGATCGGTGGCGGTGCGTGACCGGTGACCTGTGCGCCGAGGAAGGGGTGTGCGACGGCCTAGTGCATCTGAGACTAGCTCAGCCCACTCACCTCGACCAAAGCGGGAGATGCGCGCTGCAATGGCAGCCGTGTGCGAGCGGTCGGGTGGCGTCGCTGGAACAAGGAAAAGAGTCGGCGCTGCAGCGAGGAGGAAGGTAGGGCCAGCAGCCTCCGGGTCCTGGGCAATGCGGACTAGGATCGCACTGAGGACGTCAAGATATCCTCCGCGGACCCTCTCCGGGACACGTCGGAGAGGGCATGTATGGATACGCTCGGGCGAGAAGTACTCTGTCCAGTCCACCGAGTCGAGCGTCTGCCAGTGTGCGTCGGTGAACTGCATCCCGGTCGCACGGGGCTGTGAGAGGGAAGGGATGATCGAGGCGGTATCATGGGCAGCCTGCGCCCTGCGAGCCGCATCCGCAGGATGGCAGAAGGGAATGTGGTGCTGGAGCGCGCGTCGGTTCGCGAGAGAGCTCCTGCAGGTGGGGCAACTCACGACCTGGTCGGGTGATGTCGCCGTGTCGGCGGGGTCAATCGGGGCCGTGGCGTCGGAACTGGCTGTAGAGGGGACCCCGTGGGCGGCCTGAGCTCCGAGAGGATCGCCTGGGATGAGGGGAGGAGACGGCTCACCAGCCCCGCGCGGGGGGGGTGTCAGCGAAGATAGAGGTGGTGTCGCACAGGATAGGGCCGGGCCTCGTGCCGGTACCGGTGTCGAAGCTGGGGAGGGGGGACGTGGAGGTGAGCCTGAAGTGTGTGCCGTGGTGTGCTCCTGCCCCTCGGCGGGGTGCGGTTCAAGTGACGGCTCTGCTACCCCAGGCGGAGGGGTCTCGGTAGGGGCGGATGCCTCATCCCTACTGCTGGTGACCTCCTGCGCCACGGGCTGAACGAGGGGAGGCGCCACCCCGTCTAGGTGCGAGTGACACGGCCTCAGAACCCGGTCCGTCTCCATTGGGGTCGGGAGTGACGCGCCTAGCTGAGTGGCGGGGGGGATAAAAGAAGGGACAGACCGGGTGACCTCCGCATACGTCCGGGTCCGGTCCTGTGGGACTGGAAGGGTGGGGGCAGCCGGAGAGCTGCTCAGGCGGTGTATCGCCAGCAAATCTGAAATGCCAGCCCTCACCTCCTCTGGGGTCTCGAAGACCTGCCTGCCTGTAGGTGAGAGTAGGAGGGCTGGCAGGGTAGAGGGTGGAGTGGGGCGTGCTGGCTGAGCGGAGCTCGGGTGTGGACCCTGCCCTAGAAGGCCCCCTTGGCCCTCCCCAATCACCATGGGTTGCGGTAGGGGGTCGTCGACATGGAAGGGTGGGAGGGATGGGAGGGGGAGTCGGTGGCGTCTGCCATGGGCGCATCCCTCAACCCGACGGCCTCCCTCCCAGTAGCGATCGCGGCCGCCGCCACCTGGGAGGGGGACACAGCACGGGAGGGGCAGAATGGGGGTGAGTGGGCTGGACCGCTCCCATGGCCCTGTGGAGGTGCAGGAGCGGGGCGGGAGTGTAGGTTTGGTGGTCGGGCTGTAGAGGTAGGGCCTGGTAAGGGTTCAACGGGATGTGAGGTAGGGAGGGGCTCTTGGTGGGGGAGGGAGGGAGGGGGGAGTACGTGGGCTGACCCTCTGCCCCTGTTCTTCCGCCGGCGGCCAACCTGGTTGTCCGCGCCTGTTTGTGAAGGAAGGGGGGGCTGTGGGGCCAAAGGGGTGGGTGGAGGGAGGATGGGTGGTTCGCCAGGCGGGGGGTGCTCTGTTTGCATCCCCTCTCTCCTCGAAACATCCCCCTCCGTGGGAACAGATCGGGCAAGCTGTGTGTGGGGGGTGATGGCTGCCCAACGGGGCCACTCGTGGGGAACCCGGCCGGGAGAGGGGGTTGGAGGTGGGGGTCGAGGGGTCGGGCCAGTGTGGAGGTTAGAGCGAGGTACAAACGGTGGGGGGAGAGAGATTTGTGTGGGCCCTGTGGTGGCCTCTCCTGTGGGCCCCTCTACCCGGGTGCCGCCGCTCCCATGAGCCTGGGGCGCAAGCCCTTGCGGGTGGGTCTCGGCTGCCTGGGGGGGGTGGTGTGGGGAGGGCAGCCTGTTGGGTGGGCGTGTTGGGGCTGTGCGGCGACTCGGGTGGTTTGGGTGCCTGTAGCGTGTGGGAGAGGGATTTGGCCGCAGAGATGCTTCAACCTCCGAGATGTGTGTACTACCGGGTGGGGGGGGGGCCTGGTGGAGGAGGGGGTAGTGGGCCGGTAGGGGGTGGCTGGGTGTTGGTAGGAGTCGGGGAGCATGGCTCCTCTAGGAAGACCAGAGCCCTGGCTGCTCCACGTGGTGCTCTAAGGAGCCCCTGAGGGTGGGGGCAGAGGTGTGCTGCCCTTGGGGGTGAAGGAAGGAGTGAGGGAAGGGGCGGGGAGGGGTGAGGGGTGAGAGAAGGGGTGCCCTCGGGTGGCTCTGCTCTTGTCGCACCCGCGTGCTCTCCCGGTGGACCGCCTGCAACCGTGGGGTCAGGCGTTGGGGACGGAGAGGGGAGCTGACCATGGAGCAGCGTGGGGGTCGGGGAGCATGGCTCCGCCAAGAAGGCCAGGGCCTTGGCTGCCCCCCTGGACACTACCGGGACCTGAGGGTGGGGGTGGGGAAGTGGTGCTCCTGGGGGTGGGTGGGCTGGAGGACGGGAGGTGAGGATGGGGGCTCCCTCGCGCGGCTCTGTCCTCAAGGTCTCCCCCAGCCCCTCCATCGGTCCTTCTGCTAGCATGGGGACGGGCATGGGGGGTAGAGGGGGAATCTCGACGTGAGGCTGCAGGGCGGCCGGGTCGGCCTCACCGTCAAGCGTGAGGTATTGGGCCAGTGGCCCGTCAATGTGCATCACATCCTCTCCCTCATCCTCCTCTATCGCTATCACATCCCCCTCTTCAGTGCCCACCCCGGTCGGGACCACACTCACCTCTCCTTCCCCTGTTGCCCCTATGTCCCCCGAGCCCACCCCGCCTGCTGCCGCTTTACTGCTAGCCCCTTTTGCAGTCTCTGCCGGCCCTGCCGGCCCTGCTGTGTGTTTCCCCGCGTTTGCTGCGGCCCCTGCCGCCCCTACTGGCCGTGCTATGGCCCTCCCTGCTGCTTCAGCTGCAGCCTCACCTTCTGCCTTTGAGGCCACTGCTGTCCCCTCTCCCACTCTAGCCCCTGCCGTACCCTCTCTTGCTACAGCCGGGGCGGCACTCTCCCTCGCACCAGTCCCCGTTACCCCCTTCCCCGCTGCACCCGTAGCACCTCCCCCTATACCAGCCCCCACTGTGGCCTCTGTTGCTCCTGCTGCAGTCCTTGCAGCCTCGACTGCTGCAGTCTGTAAAACCTCGCCTACCGTAATCTGCTCAGCCTCACCAGCCGCGATCCCTGCAGCCTTGCCTGCCGTGGTCCCTGCAGGCTCACGTGCTGCAGTCCTTGCAGCCTCACCCGCTGCAGTCCCTGCGGCCTCACCTGCTGCAGTTTGTGCAGCCTCACCTGCTAGAATCTGCTCAACCTCACATGCTGCGGCCTCTGCAGCCTCACCTGCTGCGGCTATTTCAGCCTCACCTGCTGCGCTCCCTGCGGCCTCACCTGCCATGGTCCCGCCTGCAGCCTCATCCGCTGTGGTCTCTGCCGCCTCACCTGCTGCAGTCCCTGCGGCCTCACCTGTTGCAGTCCCTGCGACCTCACCAGCTGTAGACTGTGCAGCCTCACCTGCTAGAGTCTGCCCAACCTTACATGATGCAGCCCTCGCAGCCTCACCTGCTGCGTCCGCCGCAGTCTCACCTGCTGCGGCCCCTGCAGTCCCGCCTGCTGCGCTCCCTGCGGCCTCACCTGCTGCGCTCTCTGCAGCCTCACCTGCTGCGCCCCCTACAGCCTCACCTGCTGCGCTCCCTGCAGCCTCACCTACTGCGCTCCCTGCGGCCTCACCTGCCATGGTCCCTCCTGCAGCCTCACCCGTTGTGATCCCTGCAGCCACACCTGCTGTGGTCTGTGCGGCCTCACCTGGTGCGGTCCCTATAGCCTCCTCTACTGCGGTTCCCCCAGCCGACACAGCAGCAGGTTCCGTGGCCCCTACTCCTGCAAAACCTGTCTCCATGGCCTCTGCCCTTTGCCTGGCCAGAGTCACGGTCCCTGCCGCCCCTTCCCGTGCAGCCCCTGCCGCCCTTTCCCGTGCAGCCGCTGCTGCCCCTTCCCTTGCAGCCTCTGCTGCCCTCTCCTCTGCAGCCTCTGCTGCCCCTTCCCCCACAACCCCCATTGCCCCTTCCCGTGCAGCCTTTGCTGCCCCATCCTCTGCAGCCTCTGCTGCTCCTTCACACACAAACTCACTTACCCCTTCCCGTGCAGTGTCAGCTGCAAGTTCCCCCCTGGCTCTGCCCTCTCCCGCTTCTATGTGCTTGGGGGTGCGGGTAGGATTAAGTGTTTTCACAAGTAATCTGGTTTGCGAATGGGAGGTAGCGAGTGAGTTGGAGGATCTCTCTACTGAGCATGCATGGGTGCCGCCCCCGCTGTCACCTGAAGGGGGGGTAGGCTGGGATGGGGCAGCGGGGGTAGGGCGCGGTTTTGAGCGTGCTGGCTCCTCCTCATGTATTTCCTCCAGTGGGGCTTGGCGTTCCTCTGTTCCATCCTCTTCAAAGGTACGCTTCTGGCCCCTAGGGTCAGATTGTGTGAGTGTTTTCGCTTGGTCAGGTGTATGTTGTTTCTTCCTGACTGTTGAAGTGGGGGGAGTGGGAGAGTAGGGGGTGGCTCGGCTGCGGGACCTCCCAGATCGCCGAGGGGCTCCCGGGTCTGCCTTTCCCCCACTCGCGGGGTGCTGGGGCATTGTTACAGAGGCAGCATGCCTGGCGGTGGCGGTGTGAGTTGCTGGAGTTGGCTCAAGAGGGCGTCAAAGGGGGAAGGAACTCCCTGGCAGAGGCCGGGGTGCGGGGGGTTAGCTTGGGGAAAGGGGAAAAGGGTGGGGAAAGCGGTGCGCAGTGGGTGGAAGAGAGGGTAGAGGGGGCCTGACAGTTGGAGGGGATTGGGGCCCAAGGGGGGGGCGGGCTGGGGGCCGGTTGAGAGGGGAAGTGTTGGCGGGCTGTAGTGGAGGTGGGGGGGCGGGGGTGATGTAGCGGTGGGTGAGCAGGGTGTGGGGACAGGTGGTGGGCCGGAGGTGGGGAGGGCAGGGCAGAATTCCACGGGAGGTGGGGGTGGGCAGGTGGAGCCAAGTGGGAAAGGAAGGGTGGGGAACAGAGAGGAAGGGGCAAAGGGTAGTGGGTAGTCGAGTTGGCGTGAGCCTGGTAGTGGGTAATGAGAAGGTTGGGAGGCGGGGGGTGAGAACGTGGGAGGGCAGAGAGGGCACCGAAAGGAGGCGCTGTGGTAAATGCAGAATAGGATGCGGGGCCGGGAAACAGGGGACAGAGGGAATTGGGGAAACGATGAAGGGTGATAACTGCGGATGGGCGAGCCCCAGGGGGGAGGAAATATGGAGGGTGTTGGAGAAGGGGGAGACTGGGGGGGGTTGAGGTAGGGTGTTGGAGGGCACAAGGGGCAGGAACAGGGGGTGCAAAGGTTGGCTGGGGGAGGGAGAGGCGGTCTGGTGCCGCGGAAAGGCGGAGGGAGGTTGGGGACGGCACAGCCCAGGGAGCAAAAGCAAGGGGTGTAGACCTTGGCTGGGGGTAGGAACGGCGGTGTGGAGTTAGGGAGAGGTAGAGGGAGGCTGGGGTAGGTGGCTGGATTGCGCAGGGAGCAGGGGCAGGGGGTGTAGAGATTGGATGGGGGTGGGAAAGGCGGCGTGGTGCCAGGTGGCGGCAGTTGGGTCACCGAAGGGCCTGGCAGGGCGGGATGCAGAGGTGCAGCCCACGCTGGATGCGGAAGTAGCTGGGGGGGAAAGGGAGGCTGGAGGGGGAAGTACGGCTCGTAGAGGTGTGGGGGGCAGAGTGGGAGTGGGGAAGGCAGGAGGGGGGGTGGAGGAGGGACGTTGTGGACAGGGGAGTGGGGGAACATGCGGGTGATGATAGGGAGAAGCCGGGGGGGGGGAGAAGGGGGAGGTGGTATGAAGTGGGCAAGGGTGACGCACGGGCAGAGCGCGGCGGTACTAAGGGCAGGGAGACGGGAGGCTGGGGGGAGAAAAGCCTGCTTGGGGGCGTGGTGGGGGATAAGGGGAAAGGGGCGGTAATGCTGGTGGGCGAAAGGGGAGGGTGTGGTGCAGTATGATGAAACAGAATGGGGGGGTGGCGGACTGGATGGGGCCCTGGAGGGTTGGGAGAACAAAGTGTAAGCTGCCTTTCTGATTTTTTTTCTGGTTTTTTTCCGATTTATATGAATTTTTTTTTTTTTTCTTTGAAGTTGTTTCCCCTTATTTCCTACGGTTTCCAGAGACAGGGCGGCCTCTGCTAGCTAAGCGCCGTTAGGGAAAGAGGTTAGGTGGCGGGGTGGCTAAAGCGCGCGTGTGAGGGGGAAAGGGGCGGTGTGAGCAGGAAGGTGAATATGTGGGTGGCGACGGGGTAAGATTACGACGTGTGGGTGGCATGCACGAGTGCGCGACGAGGCATGGCAGGGTGGGAGTGAGCAAAGGGGGAGTGGGGCAGCCTGTGTGCCCAACGTGGGCGAGAGCAGTACTGGGCTGGGTGACCTCCCGGGAAGTCCTCGTGTTGTACCCATTTATGCCCCTTGCTCGGCACGTGCCGGGGGAGGGGCAAGCGGGAAAAAGAAAGGACGATTTCAGCGCGTCCGATTTCTTTTTTTTTTTTTCGTTTTTTTTTCCCAAACAACGACCCAGGGGGTGGGGGGCCCCCGGGGAGGCTTGCCCGTGCGAAGAAACGCCCCGTGCGCACCACCGTTGGGCGGTTGGAAGCCGCACACGGTCGCGGGGGTGGAGAGCGGAAACGGGCAGCCGGGGGAGGGTGGGGGCGGTTGGATGGGACTGGGGTGTACGGGGGGCAGGGGAGTTGAGGGGGCAAGGGGAGGGGCAGCGACGGGCAGGGGCTGGGCCAGCTGACGGCACGGAAAAGGGGTGGGCAGAGGGTGAGCAGAGGGGCGAGCGATGCAAGGGAGGCACCATAGGGGGGAAACCAGTTGCACGGAGGTGGGAGGTGAGGGGCGTGCGAGGGGGTGGGAAAGGGGCAGGGAGGGGCAGAATGGGAGGATGTGGGTGGGGGGGTGGGGGAGGGGAGTGTGCGTGTGTGTGTGTGAGAAAGAGAGAGAGGGAAAGGGAGGGGGGGAGAGAAGGGTGGGAGGGGGGCTGGTGGTGGGGATGGGCTGATGGTGGTAAGAGGGCAGCAGGGATGGGGAGAAGGGAGCGTAACGAGGGGAGAGCAAAGGGCAGGGGGGGAGGAAGGGAGGGGCAGGGAGGGAAGAGGCTGAACGTACAAAGGGGGGGAAACGAGGGGCATGGATGGTAGGAAACAAGGGCAGGGGTGCGGGAAATCAATGGCAGGGAGGGGAGAAGCAATGGGTGAGGGGAAAACAAGGGAGGGGCAGAGGGGGTGGGCAGGGAGGGAAGAAACGTGGGGCAGGGAGGGGAGAAGCCAAAGACAGGGGCATGGGCAGGCGGGGGCATGGAGGGAGCAGAGGAGAGGCACGGAGAAAGAAAGGGAGGCGCGGGGAGGGGAGAAACCGGGCGTGGGGGGGCGGAAAACGAGGGGCAGGGCGGGGAGGAGGGAGGGGCAGGGAGGGGAGAAGCTGAGCACACAGAGGGGGGAAAGGTGGGGTAGGGAGGTAGGAAGCCAAGGGCAAGGGTGGGAGAGTGGGGGGGCAGGGAGAGGGGGGAGGTGGGGGGCGGAGAAAGGCGGCGAGGGGCAGGGAGGGGAGAAACCAAGCATAGGGGGGCGAGATACGAGGGGCAGGGTGCGGATTGAGGAGGGGCAGGGAGTGGAGTGGGTCGGCGAGGGGAAGGAAGAGGCGTGCAGCAGAGGAGGGGAGGGGGGAGGAGAAGGTAAACGAGGGGAGCGCACGGGCGGGGACGAGCGAATGGCGGGCGGTGGGAAACGGCGAGGGGGGCAGGGAGGGTCAAACGAGGCGGCAAGGGAGCGGGCACGCGGAGGGTAGGGGCGGGGGGAGCGGATGGCATGAGGGGGCAGGGGGTGTGACTATGACGGGGGGACCCGGGCAAGGGGTGTGTACCGGTCGGGGCACGGGGTTGACGTGGTACGATCATACCTCGGCTACTACGCCGGATCCCATCAGAACTCCGAAGCTAAGCGCCGGTAGGCGAGAGCAGTTATTCATTAATAGGGGAAGAGCAAGTACAAGCCGAATATAATGGTTTTTCCAAGACTAGGAAATTTCGACATAGCCTAATCGCTATGAGGACGGAATATATATTTTGTAGGAAAAGGGGGAAAGAAAGGAAAGGAAGGAAGGATGAAGGAGTAGGAAGAAGTGGTAGGGAAAAGAAGAAGGTGGTAGGAAGAGGAGGGAAGGATAGAAGAAGGGAACAGAAAGAGGGAGGTGGGAAGAGAAGAGGAGAGAGGGAGAGAGACTAAGGAGGAGGAAGCACCAAAGGACCAAAACACGGCAGCAACCCGCACGACCGCACGGGCACAGCGTTTCAAGCACAGCCCCTATTGTTTTTTACACATATGCATCATATATATACTGCATATCAGCTACACTCTCGAAGCATCCCGTGACGTGGTGCCAAGTACCCTGCCCCGCACCCAGTGGGAATGGTGCGGGCATCCACCCGTCGTCGGATCTCCCTAACTGCCGCACCGCATGCTGGATCATGCATTGAGCCTGCGCGCGCTGTAGTGCAATGGAGAGGCGTGTAGTGAGTCCTGCCTCAAATATCCGTATCAATCCGTCATCCCCCCCACCTCTATCCCTCCTCCGCTGTGCTATCCTCTTTGCGCAGAGCCCCAGAAACTGACGCAGCGGCTCACTCAGAAGGCCAAAGGTCTCCGCCACGCACGCGTAAAAGTGTGGTGCCGGCTGCAGCCCCTCTAAGTGCGGCCCCCAGTGACGCAGCTTCTCCTGCACCCGCCTAGCTGCTGCCACTCCGATCTGTGTGGGGGTCGCCCGTCTCAGCTGCACGTTCCCCTCCCGCTGTGGATCCGCTATGGAGACATCCACAAGAACCATCAGACCCTGGCCAACGTCGCGGCAGGTGAGGTCTGGGATGCGGGAGGCGGTGCCTACATGGCTTGTGCGTTCGACTGGTCCCTGCTGTTGCGCTGGCCGCTGCCCTGTCTGGTCCCTTGGTGCCTCCTCTCTGATCGTCTCTCTCCCCCTCTCCTCTCCTCCATCCACCTGTCCTCTCCCCTCCCCCTCTCTACCCTCCCCCAACCCTCCCGACCCCCCTGCTCCATCCCCTGCTGCCTCTCTCACTCCCTGGCCCTCCCCTCCTAAACCCGCTGCCCCTCCTGTACCTCCGTCCGCTCTCTGCTGCTCCCGCCCCTGCCCCACCCCCGAGGCCGAACCTGGAGGCGCGGCGCCCTGGGCCCGCGGCCTCCACTGGCTCTTCTGCTGCTGCCTGTGCCGTCTCCCCTCCCCGTCCTGGCCCGTCTGCTCCCCCTGCCGTCCCCTCTGCCCACCTGTCCCTCGCTCCACCTGACCCCGCAGCTGGTGCTGTCCCCACTGTCCCCCGCCACCCGGCTGTCCCGCCTCGCCTCTCTGCTCCCCTGGTCCCTCAGCCCGTGTCCCCTCTCCCACCACTGGCTGTCCCAGTAGTCTCGCTCGAGCCGCCTCCAACTGTGTGAACAGCGTAGAGTCCTCCACCTTTACCGCGAAGCCCGCCTCGACCGCAAAGTCTCGAAGCATGTACTTCACCGTGTCGTGGATGGTAGTGGCGACCCCGTAGCGCGGGCACCGAACCGCGTGATGAGGCACCGTCATGTCGTCAATCGCCTGTCCGCAGGAGCACTGACCTGCAAGGGCTAACTGGGGGATAGGGAGACCAAGACGAGAAGATGAAGCCGCCTGCCACAGCGCCTCCGGGATGCGCAGTGGGTCGGCGTACGGCACCGACGTCAACCACGCCCCTGCACCTCCGCCCTGAAGGGAAGTCAAACGGGCAAGGTGCAAGGGAGAGGCGTGACGGGCACGCACGGCCTCCAAGGCATGCGCCTCCAGAAGACGGCTCGCTCCTGCAAAAAGGGAATCGGGGGAGGCAGAAGCGCAACAGGGCCAGGAGGGAAGGAGAGAGAGAACGTCAGGTGGGAGACCCTCTAGCGCCGTCTGCAGAGCCCGGTCGATCTGCTCTGGCTCACCTGAAGCGAAGCTCTGCCGAAACACCTCGCCATACGCAGGGAGAGAACAGAGAATGGGTGCACACTGCACCCAGGAGCACACGAAACTCACCGGGGCAATGCGCGCCATGCGACGAATGCCGAAACCCCCGAGACGGATGGGGAGGAAGATCTGGTCTAGGGCGGCCTCTCGGACGTCCTCGCGACAAGCCCAGGTCCCTGAAGCTAAAAGCTACTGAAATGTCTCTCCCAGGCGTGCGTCCCACCGTGTAAAACTGGAGATCACTGCGGGCGAAGGAGGGACGGTCCTCGACATGTACTGCGGACGAGTGCTGACACACGCCGAAAGAAGGCGGGCAGCTGTCTGGGGCTGGCGCAACCTCGGAAGCCAAGGTAGCACCCGCCCCATCCTCTCAAGACGATCCGGGAGACTCTGCTCCACGAACGAAACGGTGCCTACCGGTACGCCTGTCACGGTGAGCCCTCGGCGTGCGACCTCGATCCCTAGGCCCGTGAAAGCCTCCAGATCCCTGGACAGAAAGGACTCTGTCTGGTAGACGAGGCACTTGTGCGGCTGGGCTGCAAGGCCCATCTCGCCCAAGCGCCTCACGATCTCGGCAAAGTGGTGCAGCACCCTGTCTGGGGGACCTAGCACGTACGTGTCATCGGCGTACGACTAGAGCTGGACATCCCCCTCCGCCAGAACCGGCTCCAAAGCAAGACGCTGTGTCAGAGCGTACAAGAAGGGGCAGAGAGGGTCTCCCTGGCGAGTGCCCCGCTCCGAGTGCATCGTGACCACTCCCGTGCCTGACCTGTAGTGGAGATCCGAGGGCGTCCCGTAGAAGAGGCCGATGAAGGGGATCAGACACTGAAACTCCGGGCTGGCCTGCAGCGCCTGGAACATCCTGTCTCGGTGGAAAGAGTTAAAGGCATTCGCCACGTCTAGCTGCAGGACCACCCAGTCTGGGTGGTCAGCCAGGGCGCGGCGGACGCCTCTAACTACGACCTCTGTCCCGCACATAACCCCCACCCCAAACTGCTGTGACGCCAAGAAGACCCTCGCCATCTGGTCACGTAGCTGGAGACAGACTGCACGAGAAAGAATGCGGACCAAAACCTCGCCGATGGCAATCGGCCGAACATCCATGTTCGACTTCGCCAGAGCCACGAGGGTGGAAGACGCTAGCAAGGAGCGCGCAGCTGGAGCGCAACGGCCTCGGAGCCACTGCTGGTACACGGCCAGGAGGAAATGGAGACTCTGAGGGAAAGCTAAGAAAGTGTCTCGCAGGTGCTCAGCGACCCAACCGGACGGTCCTCCCGAAGAGCCCCGCGGAGCTGTGAAAATCGCGCGGCGTAAGTGATCCACTGAGAGCACGAGAGGGGACCCCTGGAAGCCAGACAGCCAAGCTGGGGTCGGCCTCTCCGCGTTAGGGTGCTTCGACTGCAGGCGCTGTATCGTCCCCTGAGTATCTAGGGCTGCCTCCGCGGACTCGTGCACGCCCTAGCCGCGCACGCCCGTGAGGTCTCATTGCACGCTGCCAGACGAAGGCAACGTGCAATGCGGCGCTCATTTGCTGTAGAGGGATCGGTGGCGGTGCGTGACCGGTGACCTGTGCGCCGAGGAAGGGGTGTGCGACGGCCTAGTGCATCTGAGAGTAGCTCAGCCCACTCACCTTGACCAAAGCGGGAGATGCCCGCTGCAATGGCAGCCGTGTGCGAGCGGTCGGGTGGCGTCGCTGGAACAAGGAAAAGAGTCGGCGCTGCAGCGAGGAGGAAGGTAGGGCCAGCAGCCTCCAGGTCCAGGGCAATGCGGACTAGGATCGCACTGAGAACGTCGAGATATCCTCCGCGGACCCTCTCCGGGACACGTCGGAGAGGGCGTGCATGGATACGCTCGGGCGAGAAGTACTCTGTCCAGTCCACCGAGTCGAGCGTCTGCCACTGTGCGTCGGTGAACTGTATCCCGGTCGCACGGGGCTGTGAGAGGGAAGGGATGATCGAGGCGGTATCATGGGCCGCCTGCGCCCTGCGAGCCGCGTCCGCAGGATCGCAGAAGGGAATGTGGTGCTGGAGCGCGCGTCGGTTCGCGAGAGAGCTCCTTCAGGTGGGGCAACTCACGACCTGGTCGGGTGATGTCCACGTGTCGGCGGGGTCAATCGGGGCCGTGGCGTCGGAAGTGGCTGTAGAGGGGACCCCGTGGGCGGCCTGAGCTCCGAGAGGATCGCCTGGGATGAGGGGAGGAGACGGCTCCGCTACCCCAGGCGGAGGGCTCTCGGTAGGGGCGGATGCCTCATCCCTACTGCTGGTGACCTCCTGCGCCACGGGCTGAACGGGGGGAGGCGCCACCCCATCTAGGTGCGAGTGACACGGCCTCAGAACCCGGTCCGTCTCCATTGGGGTCGGGAGTGACGCGCCTGGCTGAGTGGCGGGGGGGGATAAAAGAAGGGACAGACCGGGTGACGTCCGCATACGTCCGGGTCCGGTCCTGTGGGACTGGAAGGGCGGGGGCAGCCGGAGAGCTGCTCGGGCGGTGTATCGCCAGCAAATCTGAAATGCCAGCCCTCACCTCCTCTGGGGTCTCGAAGACCTGCCTGCCTGTAGGTGAGAGTGGGAGGGCTGGCAGGGTAGAGGGTGGAGTGGGGCGTGCTGGCTGAGCGGAGCTCGGGTGTGGACCCTGCCCTAGAAGGCCCCCTTGGCCCTCCCCAATCACCATGGGTTGCGGTAGGGGGTCGTCGACATGGAAGGGGTGGGAGGGATGGGAGGGGGAGTCGGTGGCGTCTTCCATGGGCGCATCCCTCAACCCGACGGCCTCCATCCCAGTAGCGATCGCGGCCGCCGCCTCCTGGGAGGGGGACACAGCACGGGAGGGGCAGAATGGGGGTGAGTGGGCTGGTCCGCTCCCATGGCCCTGTGGAGGTGCAGGAGCGGGGCGGGAGTGTAGGTTTGGTGGTCGGGCTGTAGAGGTAGGGCCTGGTAAGGGTTCAACGGGATGTGGGATGGGGAGGGGCTCTTGGTGGGGGAGGGAGGGAGGGGGGAGTACGTGGGCTGACCCTCTGCCTCCACTGCCCCTGTTCTTCCGCCGGCGGCCAACCTGGTTGTCCGCGCCTGTTTGTGAAGGAAGGGGGGGCTGTGGGGCCAAAGGGGTGGGTGGAGGGAGGATGGGTGGTTCGCCAAGCGGGGGGTGCTCTGTGTGCATCCCCTCTCTCCTCGAAACATCCCCCTCCGTGGGAACAGATCGGGCAGGCTGTGTGTGGGGGGTGATGGCTGCCAAATGGGGCCACTCGTGGGGAACCCGGCCGGGAGAGGGGATTGGAGGTGGGGGTCGAGGGGCTGGGCCAGTGTGGAGGTTAGAGCGAGGTACAAGCGGTGGGGGGAGAGAGATTTGTGTGGACTCTGTAGTGGCCTCTCCTGTGGGCCCCTCTACCCGGGTGCCGCCGCTCCCATGAGCCTTGGGCGCAAGCCCTTGCGGGTGGGTCTCGGCTGCCTGGGGGGGGTGGTGTGAGGAGGGCAGCCTGCTGGGTGGGCGTGTTGGGGCTGTGCGGCGACTCGGGTGGTTTGGGTGCCTGTAGCGTGTGGGAGAGGGATTTGGCCGCAGAGATGCTTCAACCTCCGAGATGTGTGTACTACCGGGTGGGGGGGGGCCTGGTGGAGGGGGGGGGGTAGTTGGCCGGTAGGGGGTGGCTGGGTGTTGGTAGGAGTCGGGGAGCATGGCTCCTCTAGGAAGGCCAGAGCCCTGGCTGCTCCACGTGGTGCTCTAAGGAGCCCCTGAGGGTGGGGGCAGAGGTGTGCTGCCCTTGGGGGTGAGGGAAGGAGTGAGGGAAGGGGCGGGGAGGGGTGAGAGGTGAGAGAAGGGGTGCCCTCGGGTGACTCTGCTCTTGTCGCACCCGCGTGCTCTCCCGGTGGACCGCCTGCAACCGTGGGGTCAGGCGTTGGGGACGGAGAGGGGGGCTGGCCATGGAGCAACGTGGGGGTCGGGGAGCACGGCTCCGCCAAGAAGGCCAGGGCCTTGGCTGCCCCCCTGGATACTACCGGGACCTGAGGGTGGGGGTGGGGAAGTGGTGCTCTTGGGGGTGGGTGGGCTGGAGGACGGGAGGTGAGGATGGGGGCTCCCTCGCGCGGCTCTGTCCTCAAAGTCTCCCCCAGCCCCTCCATCGGTCCTTCTGCTAGCATGGGGACGGGCATGGGGGGTAGAGGGGGAACCTCGACGTGAGGCTGCAGGGGGGCCGGGTCGGCCTCACCGTCAAGCGTGAGGTATTGGGCCAGTGGCCCGTCAATGTGCATCACATCCTCTCCCTCATCCTCCTCTATCGCTATCACATCCCCCTCTTCAGTGCCCACCCCGGTCGGGACCACACTCACCTCTCCTTCCCCTGTTGCCCCTATGTCCCCCGAGCCCACCCCGCCTGCTGCCGCTTTACTGCTAGCCCCTTTTGCACTCTCTGCCGGCCCTGCTGGCCCTGCTGTGTGTTTCCCCGCGTTTGCTGCGGCCCCTGCCGCCCCTACTGGCCGTGCTATGGCCCTCCCTGCTGCTTCAGCTGCAGTCTCACCTTCTGCCTTTGAGGCCACTGCTGTCCCTTCTCCCACTCTAGCCCCTGCCGTACCCTCTCTTGCTACAGCCGGGGCGGCACTCTCCCTCGCGCCAGTCCCCGTTACCCCCTTCCCCGCTGCACCCGTAGCACCTCCCCCTGTACCAGCCCCCACTGTGGCCTCTGTCGCTCCTGCTGCAGTCCTTGCAGCCTCGACTGCTGCAGTCTGTAAAACCTCGCCTACCGTAATCTGCTCAGCCTCACCAGCCGCGATCCCTGCAGCCTTGCCTGCCGCGGTCCCTGCAGCCTCACGTGCTGCAGTCCCTGCAGCCTCACCTGCTGCAGTCCATGCGGCTTCACCTGCTGCAGTCTGTGCAGCCTCACTTGCTAGAATTTGCTCAACCTCACATGCTGCGGCCTCTGCAGCCTCACCTGCTGCGGCTATTTCAGCCTCACCTGCTGCGCTCCCTGCGGCCTCACCTGCCATGGTCCCGCCTGCAGCCTCATCCGCTGTGGTCCCTGCAGCCTCACCTGCTGCAGTCCCTGCGGCCTCACCTGTTGCAGTCCCTGCGACCTCACCAGCTGTAGACTGTGCAGCCTCACCTGCTAGAGTCTGCCCAACCTTACATGATGCAGCCCTCGCAGCCTCACCTGCTGCGTCCGCCGCAGCCTCACCTGCTGCGGCCCCTGTAGCCCCGCCTGCTGCGCTCCCTGCAGCCTCGCCTGCTGCGCTCCCTGCAGCCTTGCCTGCTGCGCTCCCTGCGGCCTCACCTGCTGCGCTCTCTGCAGCCTCACCTGCTGCGCTCCCTACAGCCTCACCTGCTGCGCTCCCTGCAGCCTCACCTACTGCGCTCCCTGCGGCCTCACCTGCCATGGTCCCTCCTGCAGCCTCACCCGTTGTGATCCCTGCAGCCACACCTGCTGTGGTCTGTGCGGCCTCACCTGGTGCGGTCCCTATAGCCTCCTCTGCTGCGGTTCCCCCAGCCGACACAGCAGCAGGTTCCGTGGCCCCTACTCCTGCAAAACCTGTCTCCATGGCCTCTGCCCTTTGCCTGGCCAGAGTCACGGTCCCTGTCGCCCCTTCCCGTGCAGCCTCTGCCGCCCTTTCCCGTGCAGCCGCTGCTGCCCCTTCCCTTGTAGCCTCTGCTGCCCTTTCCTCTGCAGCCTCTGCTGCCCCTTCCCCCACAACCCCCATTGCCCCTTCCCATGCAGCCTTTGCTGCCCCATCCTCTGCAGCCTCTGCTGCTCCTTCACACACAAATTCACTTACCCCTTCCCGTGCAGTGTCAGCTGCAAGTTCCCCCCTGGCTCTGCCCTCTCCCGCTTCTATGTGCTTGGGGGTGCGAGTAGGATTAAGTGTTTTCACAAGTAATCTGGTTTGCGAATGGGAGGTAGCGAGTGAGTTGGAGCATGCATGGGTGCCGCCCTCGCTGTCACCTGAAGGGGGGGTGGGCTGGGATGGGGCCGCGGGGGTAGGGCGCGGTTATGAGCGTGCTGGCTCCTCCTCGTGTATTTCCTCCAGTGGGGCTTGGCGTTCCTCTGTTCCATCCTCTTCAAGGGTACGCTTCTGGCCCCTAGGGTCAGATTGTGTGAGTGTTTTCGCTTGGTCAGGTGTGTGTTGTTTCTTCCTGGCTGTTGAAGTGGGGGGAGTGGGAGAGTAGGGGGTGGCTCGGCTGCGGGACCTCCCAGATCGCCGAGGGGCTCCCGGGTCTGCCTTTTCCCCACTCGCGGGGTGCTGGGGCATTGTTACAGAGGCAGCATGCCTGGCGGTGGCGGTGTGAGTTGCTGGAGTTGGCTCAAGAGGGCGTCAAAGGGGGAAGGAACTCCCTGGCAGAGGCCGGGGTGCGGGGGGTTAGCTTGGGGAAATGGGAAAAGGGTGGGGAAAGCGGTGCGCAGTGGGTGGAAGAGAGGGTAGAGGGGGCCTGACAGTTGGAGGGGATTGGGGCCCAAGGGGGGGGGCGGGCTGGGGGCCGGTTGAGGGGGGAAGTGTTGGCGGGCTGTAGTGGAGGTGGGGGGGCGGGGGTGATGTAGCGGTGGGTGAGCAGGGTGTGGGGACAGGTGGTGGGCCGGAGGTGGGGAGGGCAGGGCAGAATTCCACGGGAGGTGGGGGTGGGCAGGTGGAGCCAAGTGGGGAAGGAAGGGTGGGGAACAGAGAGGAAGGGGCAAAGGGTAGTGGGTAGTCGAGTTGGCGTGAGCCTGGTAGCGGGTAATGAGAAGGTTGGGAGGCGGGGGGTGAGAACGTGGGAGGGCCGAGAGGGCACCGAAAGGAGGCGCCGTGGTAAATGCAGAATAGGATGCGGGGCCGGGAAACAGGGGACAGAGGGAATTGGGGAATCGATGAAGGGTGATAACTGCGGATGGGCGAGCCCCAGGGGGGAGGAAATATGGAGGGTGTTGGAGAAGGGGGAGACTGGGGGGGGTTGAGGTAGGGTGTTGGAGGGCACAAGGGGCAGGAACAGGGGGTGCAAAGGTTGGCTGGGGGAGGGAGAGGCGGTCTGGTGCCGCGGAAAGGCGGAGGGAGGTTGGGGACAGCACAGCACTGGGAGCAAAAGCAAGGGGTGTAGACCTTGGCTGGGGGTAGGAACGGCGGTGTGGAGTTAGGGAGAGGTAGAGGGAGGCTGGGGTGGGTGGCTGGATTGCGCAGGGAGCAGGGGCAGGGGGTGTAGAGATTGGATGGGGGTGGGAAAGGCGGCGTGGTGCCAGGTGGCGGCAGTTGGGTCACCGAAGGGCCTGGCAGGGCGGGATGCAGAGGTGCAGCCCACGCTGGATGCGGAAGTAGCTGGGGGGGAAAAGGGAGGCTGGAGGGGGAGGTACGGCTCGTAGAGGTGTGGGGGGCAGAGTGGGAGTGGGGAAGGCAGGAGGGGGGGTGGAGGAGGGACGTTGTGGACAGGGGAGTGGGGGAACATGCGGGTGATGATAGGGAGAAGCCGGGGGGGGGGGAGAAGGGGGAGGTGGTATGAAGTGGGCGAGGGTGACGCACGGGCAGAGCGCGGCGGTACTAAGGGCAGGGAGACGGGGGGCTGGGGGGAGAAAAGCCTGCTTGGGGGCGTGGTGGGGGATAAGGGGAAAGGGGCGGTAATGCTGGTGGGCAAAAGGGGAGGGTGTGGTGCAGTATGATGAAACAGAATGGGGGGGTGGCGGACTGGATGGGGCCCTGGAGGTTTGGGAGAACAAGGTGTAAGCTGCCTTTCTGATTTTTTCTGGTTTTTTCCGATTTATATATATATATATATATATATATATATTTTCTTGAAGTTGTTTCGTCTTATTTCATACGGTTTCCAGAGACAGGGCGGCCTCTGCTAGCTAAGCGCCGTCAGGGAAAGAGGTTAGGTGGCGGGGTGGCTAAAGCGCGCGTGTGAGGGGGAAAGGGGCGGTGTGAGCAGGAAGGTGAATATGTGGATGGCGACGGGGTAAGATTACGACGTGTGGGTGGCATGCACGAGTGCGCGACGAGGCATGGCAGGGTGGGAGTGAGCAAAGGGGGAGTGGGGTGGCTTGTGTGCCAAACGTGGGCGGCTAAAACGCTCTACGCAGAAAACGCGCTTCGGGAGGCGCGCAAGGGGAGGGCTGCTTAATCGCTACGAACGTAGCAATTTCGCCTCCCTCCGCGCTGCCTTTCCCTGGCGGTAAGCGCCCAGTGCGCGGTTCCGTCTACGTCGCGGCTAGATTGAACGGGCGGGGAAAACGAGTGCGTGACTAAACATGATAGGCGACGAGAAAGCGTGCTTGAAAACGCGCGGCTCTTCGAATTAGGGTTTCGATAAAGAAGGGCGCACTGAAAGGGAAGGAAGAGTGCTAACTACGGGCGGAAGCTAAGCTCAGTGACTTCGAGAGAGGGAAACCGCGGGAAGAAAATCGGTAGCAGCTAATCGCTTCGAATAGAAAAGCCAAGGGCATAAAAGAGCGAGGGGGATAAGGGAGAGTGTCGAGAGAGGGGATGGGCGGGAACACCGTGTCTGGCGGAGTTGTGGTTGTGAGTCGCGCGCGCTGTTACACTCCGCGGGCGAACTTCGCGTCAACGCCCCACCTCCCGTTACACCGGCTGCAGCGCGTCCGCAGCCTTCCCGCGATGGCGGGGTCGAACGAGCGGTTCCGTAACACCCCGCGAGTTCCGTTTCCGAGACTCCTAAGGGTCGCGCGCCAAACTCGCGACCCCCGTCCCGTCGAACTCGACAGTCGAAACTGGAAAACTAACCGTTGGAAACGCTTATAACTAAAACATAAACAACTATCACAATCACTTTGTCCTTAAGCAACTCGAAATAGTAGGTTTGGGAGGCTCCTTAGTAGGCAGCCATGGCTAGGTAAGCTAGGTCAAGGTAAGAGCGCCGGTGGGCGAGAGCAGTACTGGGCTGGGTGACCTCCCGGGAAGTCCTCGTGTTGTACCCATTTATGCCCCTTGCTCGGCACGTGCCGGGGGAGGGGCAAGCGGGAAAAAGAAAGGACGATTTCAGCGCGTCCGATTTTTTTTTATTTTTCGTTTTTTTTGCCCAAACAATGACCCAGCGGGGAGGGGGGGCCCCGGGGAGGCTTGCCCATGCGAAGAAACGCCCCGTGCGCACCACCGTTGGGCGGTTGGAAGCCGCACACGGTCGCGGGGGTGGAGAGCGGAAACGGGCAGCCGGGGGAGGGTGGGGGCGGTTGGATGGGACTGGGGTGTACAGGGGGCAGGGGAGTTGAGGGGGCAAGGGGAGGGGCAGCAACGGGCAGGGGCTGGGCCAGCTGGGGGCACGGAAAAGGGGCGGGCAGAGGGTGAGCAGAGGGGCGAGCGATGCAAGGGAGGCACCATAGGGGGGAAACCAGTTGCACAGAGGTGGGAGGTGAGGGGCGTGCGAGGGGGTGGGAAAGGGGCAGGGAGGGGCAGAATGGGAGGATGTGGGTGGGGGGTGGGGGAGGGGAGTGTGCGTGTGTGTGTGTGAGAAAGAGAGAGAGGGAAAGGGAGGGGGGGAGAGAAGGGTGGGAGGGGGGCTGGTGGTGGGGATGGGCTGATGGTGGTAAGAGGGCAGCAGGGATGGGGAGAAGGGAGCGTAACGAGGGGAGAGCAAAGGGCAGGGGGGGAGGAAGGGAGGGGCAGGGAGGGAAGAGGCTGAACGTACAAAGGGGGGGAAACGAGGGGCATGGATGGTAGGAAACAAGGGCAGGGGTGTGGGAAATCAAGGGCAGGGAGGGGAGAAGCAATGGGTGAGGGGAAAACAAGGGAGGGGCAGAGGGGGGGCAGGGAGGGAAGAAACGTGGGGCAGGGAGGGGAGAAGCCAAAGACAGGGGCATGGGCAGGCGGGGGCAGGGAGGGAGCAAAGGAGAGGCACGGAGAAAGAAAGGGAGGCGCGGGGAGGGGAGAAACCGGGCGTGGGGGGGCGGAAAACGAGGGGCAGGGCGAGGAGGAGGGAGGGGCAGGGAGGGGAGAAGCTGAGCACACGGAGGGGGGAAAGGTGGGGCAGGGAGGTAGGAAGCCAAGGGCAAGGGGGGGAGAGTGGGGGGGCAGGGAGAGGGGGGAGGTGGGGAGCGGAGAAAGGCGGCGAGGGGCAGGGAGGGGAGAAACCAAGCATAGGGGGGCGAGATACGAGGGGCAGGGTGCGGATTGAGGAGGGGCAGGGAGTGGAGTGGGTCGGCGAGGGGAAGGAAGAGGCGTGCAGCAGAGGAGGGGAGGGGGGAGGAGAAGGTAAACGAGGGGAGCGCACGGGCGGGGAGGAGCGAATGGCGGGCGGTGGGAAACGGCGAGGGGGGCAGGGAGGGTCAAAAGAGGCGGCAAGGGAGCGGGCACGCGGAGGGTAGGGGCGGGGGGAGCGGATGGCATGAGGGGGCAGGGGGTGTGACTATCAAGGGGGGACGTGGGCAAGGGGTGTGCACAGGGTTGACGGGTACGATCATACCTCGGCTACTAAGCCGGATCCCATCAGAACTCCGAAGCTAAGCGCCGGTGGGCGAGAGCAGTTATTCATTAATAAGGGAAGAGCAAATACAAGCCGAATATAATGGTTTTTCCAAGACTAGGAAATTTCGACATAGCCTAATCGCTATGAGGACGGTATATATATTTTGTAGGAAAAGGGGGAAAGAAACGAAAGGAAGGAAAGATGAAGGAGTAAGAAGAAGTGGTAGGGAAAGGAAGAGGGTGGTAGGAAGAGAAGGGAAGGATAGAAGAAGGGAACAGAAAGAGGGAGGTGGGAAGAGAAGAGGAGAGAGGGAGAGAGACTAAGGAGGAGGGAGCACCAAAGGACCAAACACGGCAGCAACCCGCACGACCGCACGGGCACAGCGTTTCAAGCACAGCCACTACAGAGTGGAAACGGGCAGCCGGGGGAGGGTGGGGGCGGTTGGATGGGACTGGGGTGTACGGGGGGCAGGGGAGTTGAGGGGGCAAGGGGAGGGGCAGCAACCGGCAGGGGCTGGGCCAGCTGAGGGCACGGAAAAGGGGCGGGTAGACGGTGAGCAGAGGGGCGAGCGATGCAAGGGAGGCACCATAGGGGGGAAACCAGTTGCACGGAGGTGGGAGGTGGGAGGTGAGGGGTGTGCGAGGGGGTGGGAAAGGGGCAGGGAGGGGCAGAATGGGAGGATGTGGGTGGGGGGTGGGGGAGGGGAGTGTGCGTGTGTGTGTGTGAGAAAGAGAGAGAAGGAGAGAGAGGAAAAGGGAGGGGGGGAGAGAAGAGTGGGAGGGGGGCTGGTGGTGGGGATGGGCTGATGGTGGTAAGAGGGCAGCAGGGATGGGGAGAAGGGAGCGTAACGAGGGGAGAGCAAAGGGCAGGGGGGGAGGAAGGGAGGGGCAGGGAGGGAAGAGGCTGAACGTACAAAGGGGGGGAAATGAGGGGCATGGATGGTAGGAAACAAGGGCAGGGGTGCGGGAAATCAAGGGCAGGGAGGGGAGAAGCAATGGGTGAGGGGAAAACAAGGGAGGGGCAGAGGGGGGGCAGGGAGGGAAGAAACGTGGGGCAGGGAGGGGAGAAGCCAAAGACAGGGGCATGGGCAGGCGGGGGCAGGGAGGGAGAAAAGGAGAGGCACGGAGAAAGAAAGGGAGGCGCGGGGAGGGGAGAAACCACGTGGACCAGCTCCTTCTACTCGAGTGTCCACGAGCTCTGGTTCTGCGTCAGGCTCAATCCGCTCGTGAATTGAAGCCACGATTCCGGCAGCACCGAGAGCATCTTCAAGCACTTGGTCTCGTCCAGGTAGGTGATTCCCGCGGTCGCCAACTTCGCGTACAGGTTGCGCATCTTGTCCAGGATAGGTTGCACCGGCTCTCCTTCCCTCAGGCGCAACGCGGACAGCTCCCTCTCCAGCATCAACGTTGCAACAACGGAAGTTGGGGCGTGCAGCTCGTTCAACAGGGTCCACGCCTTCGTACCGCACTCAACCTCCTACAGCAGGTGCATAACGTGATGACACTGGTTCAGCTCCAAGCTCTGTGACATCAAATAGTAGCCAGCCGAGCAACTCTCGTTCCAATCTTCCTGCAGCGTGGGGTCACTCGGTCTGGGCTCCTCCCTAAGTTTCACCAATCCAATCTGACGGAAATAGAGTTGCATCTTCCAGGCCCAATCATCATAGCCCTCACCATTGAACTTATCGACGGTAATCTTCTTCAGCACCTCCTTGACCATCGAGCCCTGGTTTGTTTGCGCTCCCCTTGGCGCTGAAACACCAGAATCTTGGCTGTCGCTACGATATTGGGTTGAAGATTCACCAGCTCTTTTCGAGGTGTTGCCCACCATAGCTACCTATAACAAGGTGCTCTGATACCAGCTTGTTGGTGCAAGGGCCTAATAAACTCGAGCTGTTAAGACTTAATCAAACTTAAAACCACTCCTCGTGGTCACCTCCTAGGGTCCTTGTGTGCCTGGTACAAGACCAGCCCCTATCGTCGGGTCTGAGTTGATAGAGAGAGGTGTTGGTGTAAGGGCCTAATAAACTCAGGCTATTAAGACTTAATCACACTTAAAACCTCACCTCGGGGTCACCTCCAAGGGTCCTTGGGTGCCTGGTACAAGACCAGCCCCTATCCTCGGGTCCGAGTTTGTATAGAGAGGGATCAAGAGGGACTTAGTCAAAACAGCAAGAGTACCTTGAACGTCGCGCAGCGTATCGTGCAGATCGTAGATCGGATTAAGTTGAGAATTTACTATATCGAAGCTCACTCTAAGAGCTTTGAAATAAGCCAAGTTGCCTCGCGAAAAGTTTTGCCATTACGAAGTTATGGCTCGGACAGCGTTAGCCTAGCGTTGGAGTGCTAGCGTACTAGCGTTGACTCGGGTAGCATTCCGCCGTCGCACCGCGTAGAAACGAAATTCCAGCAAGGGAGGAATTCGCTTGAATCAATTTTACTATATCCAGGTACAAACCGAGAAAGAATAAATAGTTCTAGCTAGCAAGGACCTTGGGAATAAACCTGGGACCAACCAAGGATGATCCCAAAACATTCCAAGCAACAGAACCAACCTGGCTGGACAAAACAGCAGGTGGTAGGTTGGTAAACAACCTCTGGTTCTGTTTTTCCAACCTGGGAAAACAACAACCAGGTTCAGGTCCTAAAAACAGAACCTGTTTTGTCTTTGCCCAACCAGCCAAATGCTGGTTCCGCTGGTTTCCCCTGGCCCTGTAGCATGCAGATACAGACAAACAACATCCAACCTTCACCTAAATTGTACCCCTATAGTGCCTGCCCTGCTACACTATAGTCAACCAAACAAAACAGTACAATTTCGAGTTGGATAGAATTGAATCTGCGCAATCAAGTAAGCCGAACCACAAAGCTTCCATCTTGGGTTCCTTTGCGAGCTCGTCCTTTCTGCTTGTACTGTTCATAGCACGTACAATGTTATGCCGAAGCGCACATTGTGCGAGTACCTACAAATGCTTCAAGCGAAAATTGCGAAAGCACACGAACATACCATTCACACGCAAATGCATTCGCACACGCATACTCGTACAAATAGACGGCAGGATGTCGTGCAATGTGAATTTGCACCCAACAAGAGGAGTCAAGAATGACTTAGCCAAAATAACAAGAGTACCTTGAACTTCACGCAGCGTATCGTGTAGACCATTGATCGGATTACGCTGAGAATTTCCTATATCGAAGCTCGTTCTAAGAGCTTTGAAATGAGCCAAGTTGCCTCGCGAAAAGTTCTGCCATTACGGAGTTATGGCTTGGACAGCGTTTGCCTAACGTTGAAGTGTTAGCCTACTAGCGTTGACTCGGGTAGCATTTCTCCGTCGCACTGCGTAGAAACGAAATTTCAGGAAGGGAGAAATTCACTTGAATCAATTTCACTGTATCATGGTACAAACAGAGAATGAATATATAGTTCTAGCTAGCAAGGACATTGGGAATCAACCTGGGAACAGCCAAGGATGATCCCAAATAATTCCAAGCAACAGAACCAACCTGGCTGGAAAAAACAGCGGGTGGTAGGTTGGTAAACAACCTCTAGTTCTGTTTTTCCAACTTGGGAAAACGACAGCCAGATTCAGGTCCTAAAAACAGAACCTGTTTTGTCTTTGCCCAACCAGCCAAATGCTGGTTCAGCTGGTTTCCCCTGGCCCTGTAGCATGCAGATACAGACAAACAATATCCAACCTTCACCTAAATTGTACCTCTTTAGTGCCTGCCCTGCTACACTATAGTCAACTAAACAAAACAAACAATTTCGAGTTGGATAGAACCAAATCTGCGCCATCAAGTAAGTTGAACCGCAAAGCTTTCATCTTGGGTTCCTTTGCGAGCTCGTCCTTTCTGCTTGTACTATTCATAGCGCGTACAATGTTTTGCCGAAAGAAAACAAACACACGAACATTCCATCTACACCCAAATGCATTCGCACACGCATACTCGTAGAAACAGACTGCAGGATGTCGTGCAATATGAATTTGCACCCAACATTTCTACCTCGGGATGCACGTGGAGAGGGATCCAGATTATAGGTGAAGCTGCACCACGAAAACTTCATCAAGGAGCTGGGGGAGAAGTAGGCTGTTGAGGATGAGCGCAAGGTTGCAACTCCCCTGCCAGCACAATTCAAGCTTGTGAAGGCTGCAAAGAATGAAGGGGTTGAAGCCAAGGAGCACCAGCAATTTCAGTTCATACGAGGCCCGACATCTCTTTATCGGTTGGGAAGCTGGCTAGGGTGGTGCAGAATCCATCAGAGGAGCAGGTGTGTGCAGCTGAGCGTGTGGTGAAGTACCTGAACTCTCACCCAAGCATTGGAGTTCAATACTCCGCATATGCACAGGTGAAGTTGAAAGAGCTTGAGGTGCTGAAAGAGAAGGGGGAGAGGCTTGGAGAAGGCAAGCTCTTTCTCACTTGCTTTACCGATGCTACGTGGGAGGAGGATTCCCCATCTGTGGGAGAATAGATCTGTGGGAGGACCTGTTTGTTGGAGGTCAAAGAAGCAGACGGAGACGGCACTCTATTCTGTAAAATCAGAGCACATGGCGATGTTCCGTGGGGTGAAGGAGGTGATTTGGCTGAGGAGGCTGTTAGAGGAGATTGGCCAGGAGCAGAAGGTTGCTACGCCGCTGTTTTGTAATAGCAAGAAACGCTGTGCTTCATGGGCTGAACAAGCACATGGGTATCAAGTGGCACTAACTGCATAAAGAGGTAAATAGGGGGACGGTGAATTCGATCTACATCAAGACTCACCAGCACCCAGCAAACTTCCTCACCAAGAGACTTGCGGATGAGCCTCATTGGCATTGTGTGCGCATGAGTGGATTGAGCCTGAACTAGCATGGAATGAAGGGGATGCAGCCGGCAGGCTGAGGGGGAGTTTGTTGGTTGCAAATTCACATTGCACGACATCCTGCCGTCTGCTTGTACGGGCATGCGTGTGCGAATGCATTTTGGTATGAATGGAATCTTCGTGTGTTTCTTTTCTTTCTCAATTTTTTCTTGAAGCATTTGCAGGTACTCGCGCATTATGCGCTTCGGCACAACATTGTACACGCTATGAACAGTGCAAGCAGAAAAGACGAGCTCGCAAAGGAACCCAAGATGGAAGCTTTGCGGTTCGGTTCAATTGATTGCGCAGATTCAGTTCTATCCAACTCAAAATTGTATTATTTTGTTTGGTTGACTATAGTGTAGCAAGGCAGGCACTATAGGGGTACAATTTAGGTGAAGGTTTGATGTTGTTTGTATGTATGCATGCTACAGGGCCAGGGGAATCCGGCGGAACCAGCATTTGGCTGGTTGGGCAAAGACAAAACAGGTTCTGATTTTAGGACCTGAATCTGGCTGTTGTTTTTGTTGGTGTTAAGGCCTAATAAACTCAAGCTATTAAGACTTTATCAAACTTAAAACCTCTCCTCGGGGTCACCTCCAAGGGTCCTTGGGTGCCTGGTACAAGACCAGCCCCTATCCTCGGGTCCGAGTTTGTAGAGAGAGGGATCAAGAGGGACTTAGTCAAAACAGCAAGATTACCTTGAACGTCGCGCAGCGTATCGTGCAGACCGTCGAATGGATTAAGCTGAGAATTTCCTATATCGAAGCTCACTCCAAGAGCTTTAAAATATGCCAAGTTGCCTCGTGAAAAATTCTGCCATTTCAAAGTTATGGCTCAAACAGCGTTTGCCTATCACTGGGGTGCTAGCGTACTAGCGTTGACTTGGGTAGCATTCCGCCGTCGCACCACGTAGAAACGAAATTCCAGGAAGGGTGGAATTCGCTTGAATTAAATTAACTATATTCAGGTACAAGCAGAGAAGGAATAAATAGCTCTAGCTAGCAAGGACCTTGGGAATCAACCTGGGAACAACCAGGGATGATCCCAAATAATTCCAAGCAGCAGAACCAACCTGGCTAGACAAAACAGCAGGTGGTAGGTTGGTAAACAACCTCTGGTTCTGTTTTTCCAACTTGGGAAAACAACAACCAGGTTCAGGTCCTAAAAACAGAACCTGTTTTGTCTTTGCCCAACTAGCCAAATGCTGGTTCCGCTGGTTTCCCTTGGCCCTGTAGCATGCAGATACAGACAAACAACATCCAACCTTCACCTAAATTGTAACCCTATAGTGCCTGTCCTGCTACACTATAGTCAACCAAGAAAACCATACGATTTCGAGTTGGATAGAACTGAATCTGCGCAATCAAGTAAGCCGAACCGCAAAACTTCCATCTTGGGTTCCTTTGCAAGCTTGTCCTTTCTGCTTGTACTGTTCATAGCGCATACAATCTTATGCCGAAGCGCACAATGCGTGAGTCCCAACAAATGCTTCA